ATGTTGAATTTTTATAGTTGCTAATACAGCATATATAAATGGTAAATAAATGGTGATTGATACCAATTTAGTAATGTGGCTCAGTGGCTGAGATTTCTATTATTAACTAGCCGAGAGCGTTGAAGATCTCGGAAGAAATGGAAGTGTTACAAGAATTACCAACTTTTACACAGTTAACCGAAAGAGTAATCCGCGTTCTCGGGTTAAATCCTAGTAAATTTACTTTACAAGGTTTGAATCAAATTTTTCGGTCGACTTTCGCTTTATTTTTAGAATTCCCGAGCTAGAAGCTTCTTTTAACTTGTGAGTAGGAACCAATACGTACCTTATCGGAACTGGACCAAGAAAAATTCTACTGGACACTGGAGAGAAACCCGAATATACACAACTATTATTTGAATCTCTAAAAAAACTTGGAGAAAATATTATTATTTCCGATATAATAATTTCTCACTGGCATAACGATCATGTTGGAGGCGTAGATAGTGTTTTGCAATATGCAAGTGAAAACAACATGCCTTTGCCCGTAGTGCATAAAAGGCTCGACCCTAAACACGATAAATCACATCATAATTTTCAACAAGTAGCAGACAATCAAATTTTCAAAACGGATGGTGCTTCAATCATCGCTATCTTTACCCCTGGTCATTCAGAAGATCATGTAGCTTTCTATTTGGAGGAAGAGAAAGCTATTTTCACTGGTGACACGGTTTTAGGGCAGGGTACAACTGTATTTGAAGACCTTGGCGAATACATCGATTCGTTACATAAATTGAAACGATTCACTCCTGGTCGCTTATACCCTGGACATGGTCCAGTGATTGAAAATGGAACAGAAAAATTGGAAGAATATATTACTCATCGTTTGGAACGAGAAAATCAAATAATTAAAGAGTTTAAAACATCTAAATCTTCATTAACGCCAAGACAGATAGTTGAGAAGATTTATGCTAAATATCCAGAATCATTGTGGCCAGCAGCAGAACGTGGTGTGATTTTACATCTTATCAAATTAGAAAAGGAAGGGGTACTTGAAAAACTTTCACCAGGTTCAGATCCTGAAAGTTTGAGAGGCAAATGGGCTTTAATCCATTCTAAATTCTGATTAATTTCAATACAATTGCTATCTTAATTCTTTTCATAAATTTGAAATAAGGATATGATAGATTACAATGAAATTATTTTAGGTTATGATGATAATATTATTATTTGTATTTATACAACATAATTTACCATTTTTTTTTATTTTATTTTTTTTTTTTATTATTGTTATCATAATAATATTATCACATTGGTCGATATTCATTAAAGAACCTATTGCTAATCGAATTGAATAACCAAAACTCGCATAAAACAAAGTGAATGACAAAATCTACCTTTTTTTTCCATTTAAATTAATCCTAATGATATAAGATACGGATTAATTTGTCGTATATATAACTATTTAATAAGTAAATCAAATACTAATGACTTACCCAGAGCTTAATTAATCCATCCCAACTACAAGTTGCAACTTTGGAAGTCTCATGAGGATGCCATTCGCATCCAATCACAACATTATCATGCGCCTTGAATTTCCTATTTGTCATAAATAAATTTTAATATATGTATATTTTTTTTCGATGAACAGTAAGTGTCCAACACTTACTTGAGCATTTTACAAGATTTCCAATCCTATATTTGAGACAGAAAACAGAAGAATTAGATTATAAAAAATACAAGATGGTCATAAACAATGCACCTACCCAAAACCATATATTTCCTTCCGAATCACCAGACATAATAAATCTTCCATCAGGTGAAAAATTAACTTGACAAGCATAACCAGCTATTAAATGACCCGTAAATCTCTTCTTGCGATGTATACGAAACCGATCTTTGGCACCATATATCACAATTTGATTATCCAAAGATTGACAGGCTAACCATTTTTCTATGAATCAAAATAAGAATATAACATTTGAAGATATGATTAATTTAAATTAATAAAACTTAATAATTAAAAAGAAAAAGTAATTACTGTTAGGATGCAACGTCACAGCGGGCATACTGTGCATGTGTGGTTCTGCAATATATTTAATCACCACAGGAATGTCGAACTCCCATGCTCTTAACGTCTTATCATCTGATGTAGTAACAAACCGTCTATTTTCATCAACAAAAGTGATGGTATTCACAGCACCTAAATGTTGATCGTATTCTTGTGTCACTTCGCCAGTATTTACATCAAACTAAAACATGAAATCTGAAATTAATAAAAAAAATCTTTTCAAAAGTAAAAAGGATAACTGGTATGATATGACTCACCTGCACAATCTTTTTGTCAGAACATCCTGCCAAAAATATATGCTGCTTATCTTCGTCAGGATTGAACTTTACAACGTAAGGGATTTTTCCGGTGGTAAATGATTTTATGCATTGTCCTAATATTGCAGTGTCAGAAATTAATGGCTCCCTTCATGCTTCTGTGACAAATGTTAACTTGAAAAATTAATCATACCGGTCTCAGTATCCCATAATTTGATATATTTATCATAACTTGCCGTTAAGAAACGCTTTCCATCATTTGTGAATGTAATATCTCGAACTGCTTTATTATGACCTATATAAGTCCTTAGACATCTGCGATCATCATAAACATCCCAGATCTTTATTCGGATGATAAATGAAAAAGTTAGATTTTAACCAAATTCATCAACTTGCATCGTAATTATATATCACCCGTACCTTCACTTTTGTATCCATACTAGAAGACAATATCAAATGTGCCGACCTAGGGAAAAAACGAATTGCAGTAACACCTTTATTGTGTCCAGACCTAAAATTATTATTTAAAGGGTGTTAATAAAGAATAAGTCTAAATAAAAGGCGACAAACTGGTAAATACCATGTATGAATACATCGTTTCGGGATAAAACATTCTTGAGTGCCAGCCTCCCCCAACAAATTAACATCCAAATCCATCGGGACATGCATATAAGTCCTTCCTTGATAATCATATTCCGATTTTCCTAAAGATAAAAAGTTTTAATAATTAGCTCATCAACATAATGTATAACACGATTTATAAATATATGTACCATGAAATATTGTTCTTTCCATTCCAGACTCGATTTCTTTCTTGGATTTAGTTTCGGTCTCAGTCTTTGTAGATATCGCGCCCTGAATAAAAAAAGGAATATTGTTCATGAATAAATCTTATAATGCTATTCTATCACAATCTTTTTCATTACAAGGGGTCTGAACATTTACCTCTGGAGGACCAACAGGATTACCGATGTTTTCACCTTCATAACCAACCCAAGGACCCTGATACGCATTTTCACCTTCTAATATAGCCGAATCACCTTTAGGTAATCTTTTTGGAATATTAGCCGGTTTAGGCGTCGGGTCATAAATCGTAGCACCATTCATCGCTATAGCTTTCTCAACATCTCCAACATACCCCTTTCCTACCACACCGTCAGCTGATGTGATAAGCGAAGGATCTAACGCGTAACCAAAAGAAGTGAAAGTGCGTTGTTGCGTTTTGAAAGAAGCTTCAGAATAAACTTGTTCTTCAACATGTCCAGTTAAAACGTTTTGATTCATCACTTTAGTACTGTACGGATTAGCAGGACCAGCTACAGGTTTCATCATATCATCGTACGGTATATTCACATTAATTTGAGTATCGGTGGGTTTTATTAAAATAGAATTCGAAAGCCTCGGATCCTATATGGTGAAAAATTCAACCATATCACGTAAATTGATGTGTCCTTATTTGAAAAGAAAAACTAGTAAATGAAATAAATAGTTAAGCGGGATCAGATCGAGTAACCAACTCATGCAAAGAAATTGCATAGATTTACAACGGGTTACTAATTAGGTAGGTAGGGGATCCCGCGAGTTGATACCAACCTCTAAGCTGACCTTAGGGGCCAAATCTATCTTTGGGCGTTTTACAAGTTGAGAATTTGCGCTACCGAGACCAGTTCTTTTGGTTGAGATCTTTGTGGAATCTTCATCGCTACTAGAATCATACTCTGTAGATAATAGATCCATAATAAAAATTTACAAAAATAAACTCGTTTATATTGAAACTATTATAACTATTTACGAGTAATTCATAAATAGAGATCTATTGAAGCGAATATTGAAATTTTCAAGAGAGTATGATCAACAGAGAATTGTCCAAATTTGGTTAAATCTTTAGGCAAGCAAAAATGCATTAAATGCAAGCTCGCTCCTTTTTAAACGTGATAATTAGTGCGTTCATTTGTAATACAAAATAATTATAAATTCATTTTAGGAGTTTTCTGCCATGCGTAGCAAAAAAATTTTTCGGGTTTGTTTTTGGATTCAAATTATTCTTTTCTTCTGTTTTCTCATTTACGATAAATAATTTGCTTGTTATAGTTGGCGATAAACAATTGAGAGATTTTTTTTTTTTAAAAAAAAAAAAAAAAAAAAAACGGGTTGCAGCTAGGGGATACCAGAATTCTCCTGAAAATAATCATTTTTCACTTTTTGCACTCCGAAATAATGAAGATCATGTGACAAATAAGACTTTATTTGGAAACAAAAGTTTTTGGACGGTTAATTCGGATTATTTCATAATGAATCATAATGAATCATAATAACAAAAAAATTTTTCCCTGTAAAAAAAAATTGAAAATAATATTCTAAAGATTTTTGTAAAATCTAAAAAAAAAATTTAATTGTTCTCGCTTCTCGAAAGAAAAGATGAAGTAAAATTATGAAATGTCTATATAATAAGCTATACAAATAAATATATTAAAAAGGAAATACCCAGATGCACAAAATATAAAAAAATTTTTTTTTTCTTTTTTAAGGAATAGAATAATAAAATGAATTAATTGTATATATGAATGTGTAATTTGTATTTATTTCTTGTAAAAATATCATAAAGGTTGCCTGGGTTGATGAGGCGATAAAACAATAGCCGTTCGATGCAAAAAAAAAAAAAAATAAAAATCGTTCGTTTTTGTACATCATTTTTAGTAAGGCATCATAAGTATAAACGTAACCAATTTGTCTGTCCAATATTTTCGATCATATCGAACTTGTTGTATGGATAATGAAGGAGCAGACGATGAGGAAATGCTCATCGTTGGCATCTTTTTCGAGGTTATTGAAGATGTGCAATTAGCTTTTTTGATTTCCGGTGTTGCCAAAGATGAAATTGAAGAGATGGTTGATAATTTAGGAACAACTTTTACGGAAGGTTTAAAACGGAAAGTGAATAAATCCGTTGAAGGAGTCTTTGATCCAGTTGCTTGACGTTGGTGACGGTCAAAAGGTGCGTGAATAAGAGCCGGCTCAAAATCAGCAAGGAAGGACATTTTGTTGATATAAATTTTGGATATAGAGATTTTTAAAGTTGGTTGAATAAAAGGCAGATGTTTAACGAAAAAATTTTTTGAGGATGAGGAAAAGAATGAGATGGGTGTTATATATATATATATATATATAATCGGAGAAAAAGAAATTAAAAGAAAAAGTATCAAACAAGGATAACAGATATTGTTCTTTTAATGATTTTCCAATGTGTAACTAAATTTGCTGACAGTGCACTATCAAATTATCTGACAAAGACGATACTTCCAAATTTGGTGGTCGCACCAAGTTGTACTATTTCAAGAGAACTGAAACTAAAGCCCCGGACTATTTTTTCCCCCAAAAAAACCAGTTATAATTAGCTCCCCCCATTTTTTGATCTTCAGAAGATAAGCGTTCGTTTACTATAAATAGGATTTTTTAAGTAAGACTACATCATAAATCATTGATTTTTCCGCACTGCACAAAAAAAGAAAAAAAAAAAATCAAATTAAAAATAAAAAAAAGATTACAAAGATTATTTAGATAAAACCTTCCTTATCCGAATTTCAAACTGATAAGGAATTCGTTTTGTACATTGGTGGTATAACGTAAATCCCCATATTGTTCTCCAATCTTTTTTTATTTGTTATGGTGAAATGTTTCTATCACAAATCCGTTTAAAAAATTTTTTTTCTCTTATCACAGTTTTCTTTTGACAACCAAAATATTGAAATAAGATAATGCAATTCAAATTCAAAATCATTGTACAACATTTATTATAATTAATTGTTGTTCTTTGACGAAAAGATAAGATAATCGAGCATTGTAAATGGTTGAAAAAGGTAAACTCTACTTCCTTTATTATATAAAACTTTATTTTTGATCTTGATTTTCTAATCTTATCTTATCATGTCCGTTATTAAGATAAGATAATGGCTTTAAATGCACTTCTTATCTTTGATCCCGTATTATTCGTTCCTGTTTCCCAAATGAAATGGGGCGGTTCACAAATTAAAAAAAAATTCTGCTGGCATATTATATCTAAGGAAATATGACCGCAGATTTGTGTTATCGAATGTGAAGTGGTTCGCTCCATCATCGATATTCATTTGAGAAACGAGAACTACCATGCAATTATTATGTTATGATACAAAAAAAAATAATTATAATAATAATAATGAGGGATGATTTTCTGTATCACAAGATACAGGTACGACAATATTGACATTATAACCTTTTATCCTTGACAATAATAATGTAGGTTTCAATAATACTTACACTTGCATTTTTCGAATGTTTAATATCTGGAAACGAAATATCTCCCATAGGTTTCACAGTATTAACCCTTGTGTAAAAATCGAATTTTTCAAAATATTTTTAAGTAAAAACTGGTAATTTCAATCAATACCTTTTTTTAGTATAATTAGTTGATTAATAGAAAAAAAACGATGTTTTATATACAACCTTATAAAATCAAAAATTCATCTTATTGTTAAGCAATTTTATATTTCTTTTAACAAAATGTTTAAACTTTTAATTTTATGAGTTTTAATAGTTTCATATTTTTATATGTTTAATAACTATTAGTAAATTAAATTCTATATAATTATTAAATCATAAATTTTTAATTATAATATATTGTATAATTCAATTTTAATCATTTAGTTTATATATTATTCAAGATTATATAATATAATATAAAATATTTCTTTAATAATAAAAAGCTTGTTTATTTATAAATTATAGTTGCTAAAGTATTCATTCTTACTTTATTAAAATACTATTAATAAAATAATCTTATTTATAAGTTTATACAAATTTTTAATTAAAAAATTTTTCTAATATTTCTTTTAATATTCTTTTATAGTAATATAAAGTTATATAATTAAATAAAAAAAAATAATATTATATATTATAATTAAGAAATAATATTTATAATTGATCAAAATTTTAAAATTTTATTATAATCTAGATAATAATTTTAAGTATACTAAATAAAGACTTAATATTATAATTTAATGTTTAAAATTCTATAATTAGTTTATAATTTAAATTATAATTTTAAAGATTATAACTTTAATAATTATAAATTTACTTTATATATAATATTATATTATATATATAAATTAAAAGTATTTAAAATTCTCATTTAATTATAATAATATTGATTAATATTTTATACTATTTTTATTATTATTTATATATATTATTCTGAAAAAAATATCTAGGCACAATTTTTTGTGAATTATAGCTTAAGTTTATTATGATGTAATATAAATATTTATATAAATATTTTCATTTATAACTACTTTATATATATTATATAAATAAATAAAATTGGTTTTATACTTTAGTGTGAATTGACAAATTATTAATTAAATTGTATTTTGACAGATGTAATAATAAATATCAAATTGATGTAATTAATTTGATATTATCAAAAATAATTAATGTCAAAATATAATTGGTTGCAATTAAAATAATATCAAAATAAAATAAACTTCACATTTTCTAAATTATTATGATATTATGATTCAATTAACAAAAAGTTTTCAATAAGATAAGTATGATAATTTTTATTTTATATCTCTATAATCAGTATATTTGATTTTCAAAAATTTGAAGAATAATGTTCTAGATAGTATATATAAATAAAAAAATATCTAGGTATCAAAAATTTATTATTTTTAAATTTAATAACTTTTAAACTAACAATTTTGATCAATAATTTTTTTTAAAATAGTATTTTAATTTAGTTTATTATTAATAAAAATAATAAAGTATAATTATCTTTTTCTATTAATAAATTCATTATTATTTATCTTATATTTTACATTTTATTATTATCTAAAAAGTTATTTATAAAACCTTTAATAATTCTTTCAAGTAAATTATATAATTTATTACTTTATTTAATTCACAATTTATATTATTATTAAAGTAAAATTTATAAATAATCAAATGATTTTCTATTGTAAATATTACAAAAAAATAAAGAATAACACTATTTTCATTTTCACTATATTAAAAACGAGTTTTTGAAACGCCTATTTGTCATCACATGATTAATTTCGGCAAGTTCCATAATGTTGGTCAAAAATTACGAGGGAATAGAAAATTTGTAAATACAAGTACATCTTAAATATATATGTATATATTTTTTTATCCTCTTTCTGCTTCCGAAAAAAATATTAGATCGAAGAGTCACGGATGTTCTTAAAAAAAAAAAAAAGTTAAGGGAATGGCTAAAAAAATGATGATAAAAATTATCCGAAATGATTTTATGTTTTCATCGTAATATTGAAAATCACGAATATCTGAAAATCATAAATATTTGAAAAACAATTATGGCATTAATACAATCACCTGATGATAATCAGCAACCATTTAACCAATGTTCATGTAAAATAGATCAGGTACTTTTCTTTCGATTCTGTAAATATTAAAATTCATTACTATTTTTTTTTTTTTTTTTCTTTTTTTTTTTTGAAAAACCTTACACGAGACTCGAACACAAACCTTTCCTGGTAAAAATTGGTTACTACTCTCGATTTTTGCAAAACAACGATAGCTTGTTAATTGTGGTTTTCTATATCGTAATTATATTATTTTATTAAAAAATTAAAAAACAAGGTATATATTTTTATGGATTATATATTTTTGTGCTTCACAGGCTTATATTCGTTTCGATTTTTTGGATAAATAAATTTTGTTCACATACCCAACTTTTAGGACGATGGTATCGCAAATTTCTTGCTGGCAAGTTCCTTCTCCAACCTGGGGCAAAGGTTCTTTTGATAAGCTCAGAGATTTTGATCAACCTTCACCACCTGGAGTTGATTTTGCTTACCAAAAATGCAATGTATCAACAAGATTGTCACCTTATAATAATTTTGAATCTTTTATACATACTTCTCAGCTACCAAATGAAACATCCTCTACTCATACTACCCATGCGAAGACTTTGTATACAGATCATTCGATAATTCCACGGAGGTTTGTTTTAAAGACAATTCATCAATTGTTACATTCATATCCTGTATTTAAACCAACCATTCGATTAGAAACAGTGAAATATCTCTCGATTCGGATTTGTCAAATTCATATATACCTTTTCAGTCAAACTTCCCTACTTCATCACTAGAGCCTTGTTATGAATCTAAAGGAAATAATCCGAAGAAAAACAAAGGAAAAAAGAAAAATGTAATTGGTGAGATCTGATAAACGTGCATTATTTTTCTTTAAATTATATCTTTGAAATTTTTTTTTTTTTTGAATATTTATACTATTCAAAAAATTATTCTAGCCAGTATTGATTGTCATCCTCCCACACAAAAGGATCAAAAATCAAAAAATACCTGCTTTAATAAAAAGAAAAAATTAAAGAAAAGAAATAGTGCTCATAATTGTGAAGGTATGTTCGGGTCGAATCTTTTTATTCATAAGTAATTGTTCATTTCTTTGATTGATAACGTTATCACGCGTAAGTAGATCAGAAATTTTACCATGAAACATTAAGGGCCGAGCCAAGTTCCAAGGAACAAAGGCAAGTTGAGATTACCAAACAAGATCGATTCGAACTCAAGATTAGACCGAACTATTCTTCAATTGACAAGCTGCCTCTAAAGAATGACGAGTCTAATTGTATTGCCATGAAACTTCCACCGGAAATTCTTTTAATGATAGCAGAAAATTCAACCGCAGAAACTACGTTAGCCTTAACATTGACATGTCAAAAGTGGTATAACTGGCTTACTGATATGGACAGTACTTACATTGGCCGGGTTTGGCGTAGATCTAGAAATAATTCTCATCCAGATCATAAAGAGCCCAAGACTGGGAAATGTGAAATGATTTACACCATTCAAAAGATGAAACCAAAGCCATCATGGCTTCACGAATGTGACATGTGCTATAAAAAGTCTAGCATTATGACATGGAACTTTAGAGGCAGGCCAATCAATACTTGTTACAGTTGCAAGAAGATGTACGAAGTTAATACAAATGATTACGATAAGGAAAT